CCCTAATTTCTTCTACTTCTAGTTGCCTGAATGGGTGTTAGAAGTTGTGAAGCAGTAGGAACTAGTGAATGAAGGTCCTGGGTAGAAATTGAGACTTGGATTCTATTTCTGACTCTTATCTGCTGTGAACTTAAGTGTGCCATTTTGATTTTCCACCTGTTTCCTTCTCATCTTATATCTGTCTATATCAATGTCTATTTAAATTGCCAGCTGTTTGTTCCCGGGACTTGTTTGTGCTGCGTATATCAGAACCTCATCTTGATCGATGCTTCTGCTGCTCCTACCTGTTTCCTTCTCATCTTATATCTGTCTATATCAATGTCTATTTAAATTGCCAGCTGTTTGTTCCCGGGACTTGTTTGTGCTGCGTATATCAGAACCTCATCTTGATCGATGCTTCTGCTGCTCCTATTGTGCTGATAACCGGGGGCAAAATTTTCTGCTTTAGACAAGGCCATGGAGAGAAATAGGGAGTTTTATCATGTCAGTTTAAAACCCCCAAAAAACTCATAATCATCCAGCCCAGAAAGTGCAAGGTGATTTTTTTTTTTTTTTTTTTTTAAATCCAAAATGTATTGCTCCCTAGACATGTGCCCGTGCTAAGCTGCCTCTCTCTGAAGACAGCAAATGGCTCGAGCCTATGGCCAGGCTTTTTTGAACCAGCTTTATTTTCTCTGAACGAGGGCTCTTCAATCATGTAAGAAGCACATACATTTTTCAAGAGTAAATCCATACAAAGCTTTGAATTTAAGCTGTCTTTTAGTTATCAGTGCCTAAAATTTTTTTGGTACTTTGATAGCATGGAAAATGCTCAAGAGCTTCTTATCCTTGAAAAATAGATCTATATAGACTTCTCAAAACTGCGAATTGACAAACTTAAGCTTTCAAAAACATTTCTGTGCAAGGTTATAAATACCTGAAAATAGATATGGAATGGATGGCTGAACTGGAGCTGTAGAATTGCTTTTATGGTATAGCGAAAGAAGTGACTGTTTGTCAGAGGTTTGGTGGTTTTTTCTTTTTCCTCAAAATACTGAAGTTACTGAGTGTGCACTATGTGCAAGCTGCGCTCTCTTATTTTGTAGGTGGATTTGTCAGTGTTGCAACACAGACAATACATATAAAAATTTGATTTGAATTAGTTTAGTGTTGCCTGTTTATTCTTCACCCTTGCAGGCCCATCAGAGGGCTTTCAAAACATGCGCTCCCGTACTTCTGGAAGCCCAGACCATTCTCCACAAGGTGTCACTGGTGGTAGGTCGTGACTGTAACAGCATCTTCACGAGTGGGGTCATCCTCTGCTTTTCTCAAGGTTGGGTTTCACCCAGTCGCGCCCTGTGCCTGTGAGGGATTGCCGGAATGGCTGGGATCGGGTAGACCGATGCCCTGCTCCCTACCCAGTAGGCCGGCTGTTTCTCTGCTTATTTTGCCTCTCCTTTGCCAGAGGCAGGCTGCTGATTGCCACTTGTGCAGCCTGCAGGGCATTGCAGCCTTGCCTAGGAAGGCTGAGCTGTTGGCCCAGCACAAAGACCGTGCTGTGCTGTCCTCTGTAGCTGTGGCACTACCCTTTCCTGTACCCTTCCACAGCCAGCCTCATAACCCTGTTCATTAAGTCATAGCTTCAGACGTATTTTGGCCATTACTGCTTCGTGTTTCTCCTCAATATAAGAAGTTTCGTAACAGTGTTGTGGATAAAGATGCAGTTTAGGTTAAAACCCTGCAGGCCAGTAAGCCTTTGTTACAAGTTTACTGCCTGCTAGTCTGTACATTTATCTTTAAAAATCTTGTTAAATTCTACTTTATGTTGGTCGGAAGATGAGGTGCTGCTGCAGCTCCTTGGAGAAGGGCAGGAGTTGGTTGGAGTTGAGGTCCCATGTTTCTGTCAGCACTTCTTAAGAACAGAGTAAGGACTTTAGATTTAGCAATAGCACTGATGTCTGTAGGCTTCTTCTGGCATGGTTTTATTTTTCTTCTCACTTTTTTGAAATGAAGCATAAAAGCGGTGTATCACTAAAATTTAGTTGACAAAAGTACTGGTGGAAGAGTTCTATGTAGCTCTTTGTGATAGAAATGTGTAAATATATGGATCTTAAATTTTCTGTATCTTTTCACTACCCCATAGAAATTGTGTTATTACACAATGTTAATAATACAGCTCAATAAATTCTGTGCATTAACAGTTTATGTTGAAAAATACTTTTTTTCTCTTTTTCTACTTAATAGCTTTTGCTTCCTTTCTAAAAAAAAAGAAAAAAATAAATCCATTTCTCAGGAGTGCCTGAGCAAATATGTGGAACAATCCAGGGACCACAATTCAGAATTTCTTATTTTTATTTCTGCTTCACTTTTTATTTCCTCAAATTTTAAGTGGAAAAGTGTTAAAAGAACTAGAAGAGGCATATAGTAACATACTGGTGTCAGTTTCTGTACTGGAATTGTACCTTCTCATGTTCACTCTAAGAACAAAATAGTGTTTTTACCTAAAAGACTCGCAGGGAGTAAATCAGTTCTGATCCCCTCAGAACTCGGGTATTTGAAAAAAGCTTAAGGCAACGAGCATGGGCAATGCGTGCATCCTTGTTACACCAGAGCACCTCCTTTCCCTCCTCATCTCAGGCTTTCTTGTGTGGTAACATTCTGTGCATTTCTTTTTCATCATTTGATGTCAACATATCTTTCCCTTCAGCAGAGATGCAGTCATTCTCCTTGTCTTTGTGATACCAGCATCGACCGTGCTGCTTTTCTGTAGTTGTGTTGTGTTGTTTTTTTTTCAGGGCCAGAGTTGTGAGAACTAAATTGAAAATGATTCTAGTGGAGTATCTGGAGAGTTGTATTTTCCCATGAGCCCCAGTGCATTTCAAGCAGTGATGCCTAGGCTCCCGTAGCAAGGCATCTGTTGGAAAAAAGTCTATTGCTATGTATCTTGCTTGGCATTAGGTTTCACCTGAGCTGAGGGACCCTCGACCTCTTCAGTATCTCTCATTGTCTACTGTGGACTGTGCTATGTTCACAGAAGGTGTAAAGTAGTACCGGTGTTATAACAGCCTCTGGGATAGCAAGGATTTTAGGTCTGCTTTGTCGCTTTGTAGGATTTCCTAGAGGACAGAAACATGTTCATTTGCAAATTAAAATAGTGGTTAAGATGATGTTTCTGTCTGTCATGACTGGAGTTCTGATATTAAGTACCCAGTATGAGAAATACCTAGCCTGATTCCTAGCAAATTGAGTAATCACAGTGACAGGTAGAGTGAACTACAGGTGTTTAATATCTTAGCATAACAAGTCCTAAATACTTATAACTTTCAGAGCTGCTTTGTGAAAACATGAACTACTGGATCAATTCATATTTTGATATAAGCATTAATATTTATGCACTTACTTGATAGGACGTTTTTTGACTTAGAGTCTAACAAAGCAGTGGATTAATCATTTGTCCTCTCTTCTTTTTTTTCTATAGTGCAACAGAATGGGGTACGACACTGCTCCTACTCGGCATCAAGGAAAAATTTATATATTAACAAAAATACAAAGGTTATCTGTCAGGGTTTCACAGGCAAACAGGTATGCATACGAACTATTTCTTCTATCACCCTTTCAGTTTGGAAAGTTAGTTGGCCAAAAACCATAGTAACATATAAAAGGGATTATATACTGACTTTGCCTGTGTTGATAAGAAGCTGGACTTCATGATCAGGAACATCCCTTCAGCACTGTAGTTTCTTTCTTTGGTCCAAATAGACTTTTTTTTTTTCTTGAATTCAATAGACTAGGTATTTTTTTCACTTGTGCACAAGCTTAAAACTTGTTTTTGAGTCATCTCTACTACATTACTTTTGATTTTTATTGTTGGTTTTGGTCTTAAGCCTTTTCATTGTATACAACGGAAAGGGTTTCTTTGTAAAGGGAGATTTGCAAAAAAACTACAAAATCCTTACCATTTTAGAAGTATCTCTTTTGCAAATGCCTTTGAATGTCAATGCCTATAAATTAAATTTCTATTTTTGTTTCAAGATATTTAATAGTTTTCTCACATTCACTCTTTTACACATTTGCAAGGGGAGAAGACTGCTTTTGCTAAAACTGTCAGCTAGTCATGTGTGAGAATGCTACTATCTTTTATTTCATTATAGTGTTTGTCATCTGCCAGATGATGTGGAAAATAAAATGTGGCTGCTATGTCTGCAGGTGTATTAGCAATACACAACAAAATATCCTTTAGTGTGCAACGATAGTGCCCTGATTTAAAAGAAAAAGCATAGCTTATTCTGAATCCCATTTAAAACATGTTGATGCACTCTTCAAAATAGCTAGTTGTACATACATAGTGAGAACTTCCTTTCTCATTGTAAATTTAAGTGTCATAAATTGCTTTCAGAATTATAGATATCATCAACTTTTTTTGGTTCATTTTATTTGCTATTACATGCCTTTTAACTTTACTTATTTTCTCTCTCATAGGGCACCTTTCACAGCCAGCAGGCACTGGACTATGGCACCAATCTAGTTGGAGGAATTTCTCCAGGGAAAGGGGGAAAAACTCATCTGGGTCTGCCTGTGTTTAATTCTGTGAAGGAGGTAATTTGCAGCAATGACTGGAGGGCAGACAATTTAATGCTGCTGAAGGGCTCCTTATTTCGTTGCTCACACTGAAGAGACAAATATTTGAGCCATGGATGTCACTGTGCAAGGAGTGAAATAGAAGCCTTGTAAAATTCAGTGTGGTTGAGCATGAATTTGGCTTCCACTGTGAAGTTCACAGTCTGGATACACTTACTTTATGCATGCAACTAGTTTCTGATTGATTCTGGTGTATATGATGAATTTTTAGCAAACCATTATCTAAGGATGTTTACGATTGTGTTCATAGGGCAGATCCTTCCCTGACAGCAGTTAGTTCTCAGTTCCCTAGTTGTACTGTATGTGCCCCATCTTCAGTGAATTTAATGCTTGCTTTGATTATAATAAATTAATATATATCCATTCACTTTATGCCTGTGAATGGATGTATTTTAAATGACTAATTGTCAAATGTTCTCTTCCACCCCACTAAATGCTTGATATCTTTTGTTATGTCCATTGTAGGCCAAAGAACAAACTGGTGCTTCTGCCACTGTTATATATGTACCTCCTCCGTTTGCTGCTGCTGCGATCAATGAAGCAATCGATGCAGAAATGCCCTTAGTTGTATGCATTACTGAAGGTATTCCCCAACAGGACATGGTTCGAGTTAAACACAGACTGCTTCGGCAGGATAAGACTCGACTAGTGGGCCCGAACTGCCCTGGAGTCATCAATGTAAGTGACTTCTGGATTTGCTCCAAGGCTGAACCATTCTTGGTGATGGTTTGAATGTTCCATCTGACTTCTCCCACTCTTTCCTTAGCCTGGAGAATGTAAAATTGGTATCATGCCTGGTCACATTCACAAGAAGGGAAGAATTGGTGAGTTTCTGAATATTTATGCATCATCTAAAACTAAAGTTCAGTACTCTAGTGTTCTTATTCATGAGGCTCGCCATGTCCTGCCCTGAAGACAGTTGACACGGTGAATAACATCTTGCCTGTCCTTCAGTTTGTAAGTGAATTTCGCCATTGTCAATCCTGAAGGCCAAAATCAGTTAGTCTATCATAGGAGGCACTGACTGCTGATGGTAGAGGCGAAGCAATTGGAAGTTTCCTTAGGTAATGTGATTGACTTTGTTTCCTTAACACTCTCTTTTGAGAATACCCCAATTTATCTTGGGATTTGAGAGCACTAAGCTCTCCAATGCTATTCCTTCCAACAGTTTGGCTCCTCAAGTCTAGAATCCTTCACCTATAGCGAGCTCATTATTAAAGAGAAGAGATTACAGGCAAGTTTATAACAAGATAATTTACATGACTATACCACAGCAAGTGGAAGTGACAAATACACCCATTTCTCAGTGGAATTAAGGTCAGAAAGGCAGTGACTTGTTCATAATCATATGTTGGTTGCATGCAAGTTTCTTGTCCTGACTTCTATTGGTTCCTTGTTCTAAACTATACAAATAACAACTTGATTATAGCTCCTGAACAGCATTATTTTAAAAATAAAGAAAATTCTTCCAAAATATGCATTTGTACTTACATAGAGCTTCAGAAATGTTGTAGACAGCATATGCTGCTATTATCTGTCAGCAGGGTAACCAGTTTACTTGAGCACGGTACCCTTGTCAACATTACCTTTTTTTTTTTTTTTTTTTGATGAAAAGCATGTTTACTGTGGGGAAAATCTGTTCAGTGCTCTTGAACTACATGGACTTGGTGCAGTTTTTTGAACATAAGAAACTATCTCTGCTACTTCTGACTTGAGAATAAGCTGTACCTAGTGAATGTCAGAAGATGCGTTAACGCTTGTGTCATACCTCCAGCTTTCAGAAGTACCTGTAAACCTGGAACTGAAAAATCAGATGACTACAATTATGCCCTTTGTAGATACCATCAAGACATTGCTCTATACTGTAAAAGGTAGCATCAACTGATGTTGCCCCGAGCTCCCTTTTGAATCAGAGTTCTGTTAAGATTTTCTAAATATCTATAAGAAATGTCTTGTATTCACAAGATACTAGAATCTGAATACAAGGCACATCAAGTGCAAACTAGTATTTTAAATCCTGAATCTAGCTGGCTGACCATTGCTTGAAATGTTTTCAATGGTGATCCAAGGATCAAGGAATAAAAATGTAACTATGCCATCCTCCCAGCTTCGTCTAACACTATGACCTTTGGTGATATGCTCCCCAGCTTTCTATTACTGTGAGGCATCCAAGAATCATTTGATAATCTTGGGATGCAAGCTATAAAAATAGCCACAGTCTTTGGACCTTTATCTATAGCTTCTCTGATGCAATCTGATTTTAATAGTAAACAGGAAGGCCTTTGCAAACATAGCAAGAAAAAAACCTTACTAGTAGACATCTGCGCTGTCCAACAGTATAAAAAGTTGATAAAACTAAAGTTGTTTGTCTAGTGGTGTATTTTTTCCTCTGTTCATGCAATATACTTATTATATTCCTTGTTAGGTGGCTTGAAGTAGATGATGTCTGTTTTTCCTGGAAACCTTCCCTGTTGTATTAACAGAAATCTTGACTTGGAAAAATGAACAAACATGCAAATATTTTGCCCCTGATCTAGGCTCTGTATTACCTTCCATCCTGAATTTAAAACTGAGGTTGTGGTCTCTGTCTTGTAATACTGTAATGTAAGTGCTGAATGTGTATTGTAGAGCAGTGAGCTGCAGCAACAAATACCTTAATAGTGATAACTTGTGTTTGCGCAGCATATTTCTGTTCTGGAGGCTCTCTTGTGTGCCTGGCTGTGCTGAAGATGTGATTAATACAGAATTCTTTTGTTAACTGTTGTGCTGCAACTCAAGTTCAGTGCGTCAGCTACTCACATATAAGACAAGAAGTATATTCTTCTATTTTGTTTTCAGTTTTCTTTCCTAGTAAAGCTGTAGTGTAAGGAATGCTGTCTCAGCCAATATGTTTAATCTGTTGACAATTAAGTGTCAAAAAATGCCAACCAAGAAATAGTGCGGATAGAAACTTAGAGTTTTCATACTTTGGCAAGGAATTGCTGGAAAACCTGACGTCTCATGTTGAGTTTATTAAGGTGATTTTTATTAATTTAAGAACAGCTGCCTCTAGTCATGTGCTTAATTATGTTAGTGTTAAGTTTATCTCCTTTTCTTTGCTAAAGGTATTGTGTCAAGATCTGGAACTCTGACGTACGAAGCTGTTCATCAGACAACGCAAGTTGGATTGGGGCAGTCTTTCTGCGTTGGTAGGTTTCCTCCGAATCAGCCTGTTGTGCCCAGACTAATTTGCTTTTTTTTTTTTTTTTTCACAAGAAGAAATCCAAAGTAATTTCTTTTTGCAAACATAGAAATTGCTGAATGGCAATTATATTGAGAAATTAGATCCCTATGTGCTGTGAAGAGTATAACCCTTCTCTATTATCATTTCCACATCAGATTAATAAAAGCCTAAAAAAATAGCTTTGAACAAAGAACTGCCAGCAAACATGATGTCAATTTGGAAACTGAGTTGAATATTATAAAGGGATAGGGCATTCTTAGGCATTTAGTTGGGTATGTTAAGTAAATCAGTTTTCTTACGGCAAAATTCTAGAGCTGGGATCTTGGTCCTGCTGTGTTTTATTCAGAGCCTAATATTTTGCTTATGGTTTGGAAGGTGATTATTCAGATATCAAAACTTTCTGTAAATTGTGGGGGAGCCGGAATTTGGCGCACTGACTTGGGAAGAGCCTTCAGAGCTGCCCCTCAGCTTCCCCTGAACCTTTGGGAATACTTTTCATGCTGAAATTTACTTAGACACTTTTATCGTAAATGCAATATCATTATCTTGAGTTTGGGGCTTTTTTTTATGGTTTTAATTTTTTTCAGGGATTGGAGGCGATCCTTTCAATGGAACTAATTTTATTGACTGCCTTGATGTCTTCCTGAAGGATCCTCATACTGAGGGGATCATATTGATTGGGGAAATTGGAGGAAATGCTGAAGAGGATGCAGCAGCATTCTTGAAAGAAAATAATTCTGTAAGTTTTAAAACAGCTTGCTTTCAGACACCTTGGTACTTAGCCATCTTCTTTTGCCATGTCAAGGAAAACTCAATTCAATCTCTAATCTCTATTTACAAAAACCCCAAACAGTCATACATTTATTAAAGAGAATTGAAATTAGGAGCATTGTGCAGATTAAATCTAACTGGAGGGCAGTGTCAACTTTAGATTTTTAGTCCTGTAATGGTATTTGTCATGAACGTTCTGTTTGTAGTAATATAGTGGCTCTGCAGAGAGATGTAAAGTTTCTGATTGCTTCTGATTTATGTTGCTCATCAGAAGAGAAAGTATTCCACGGTCTTCATGGAATAGTCTGTTGTCTGAGGTTTCTAGCTGTTTAATATATTTGCCTAGCTAGTTGATATTTAAAAAAAATAAATAAAATCTGCCACCTGGAATTGCTTTTTTGCCCAGAGAAGCTGTGGATGCCCTGTATCTGGAAGTGTTCAAGGCCAAGTTGGATGGGGCTTTGGGCAACCTAGTCTAGTGGAGGGTGTCCCTGCCCATGGCAGGGGGGTTGGAACTAGATGATCTTTAAGGTCCCTTCCAACCTAAACCATTCTGTGATCTTGCCCTTCCCCATGTAACACAGTACCTTTTCGTTCTTCACAGGGTCCAAATGCCAAGCCAGTGGTGTCCTTCATAGCTGGTCTGACTGCTCCTCCAGGCAGGCGGATGGGTCATGCTGGAGCAATCATCGCTGGGGGAAAGGGTGGAGCTAAAGAGAAGATAGCAGCTCTTCAGAGTGCTGGTGTTGTTGTCAGCATGTCTCCTGCTCAGCTAGGCAGCACCATCTACAAGGTTCGTTGCTCAGAAATTGGGATACATACTCATCCAGAGCAAGAGGCTACTTTTGAGGGAATACGAGTTGGGAGTACATCTCTTTCCCAGATATTCTGTTGCTCTGAACTTGGTTAAACGTAAGAGCTCTATTGACTGAACAAGCTGGAGTTATTACTTAGAGAATGTGCACACATCGTTTTATTAAATGTCTTCATAGAAAAGTAAACATAGCAAAACAGAGAGGAGATTACGTTTTTGCTTTCAAGTGTAGCAACTTGTTGAATTGTGTTTTCTGGATGCAAATAACCTGAATTAATTTGAAATATGAAAACATTCTTTGACAGTAGGGTATTTGAGGAAGGAAAGCCTTGGCATATAGCTCTATCCTAAGTACCAATTCAGAATTATGGTTGAATGCATGCAGCTGAAAAACTTATGTATGGAGTAGATTACTTGCATTTTTCTTAATTCATATCCAAAAAAAGGCATTGCTTCACAGCTAGAAGAAATGCATAATTCAGCTGTGCTAAGCATTTTCATTTTCCTGTGGTGACTGTATAGTATAGCATCTTCACAGGCTGCTGTGGGATTCTTCCCTTCTTCTATTGTGTTTTTTCCTTTACTAAAAGGAAATCTTTGCTTTGTTGCTTCCCTGGCTTGAATCCTGTACCATAAGGATTCTAGAGCAGTTCTTACACAGAATTAGTGTTTTTCAAGCCCATTATGCTGTGCCTGGGAGCAAATCGTTCCCTGACAGCGTTGCAATCTGAGTGCAGCGTGCCGACTGCAGTCTAGCACTACTGGTTTTTCATAGCCGGTTTGTTAATGTGAGCTGGGAGAATACTTACCCTCCTTTCCTCTAACCTGCGCACATGGTGCATTTTATATTTTAATTTTTAATTCCAAAAATCAGATTTACTAAGATAAATACAAAGTAATTTAAATAAAATAGTAATAGAAGCAATCTTTTTTTCTTCCCCCTGGTAATGTCTGTTTGCTATTTGCAGGAGTTTGAGAAAAGGAAATTGCTGTAGGAGAAGAAACTTTGGAATACTGTCTCTGAAACATCAGTGCAGCACCTGGCCTCCGCTTATCTTTTGTCTGCTAATCTTCAGTTGCCCGAATGACTGACACTGGTCTATGAATTTGACTTGGAAGCCATAAACCTCCTGGCTAAACCTGTTTTGATGTCTCCTTGGTTCAGACATGATCGCCTCATTGTAAATCACAGCAAATTAATAAACCTACTACTAAATCTGATTCATCTTTTGAATTCGTGAAGCAGAGCTGTTTCTTCAATCATCATACACTAAATAATCTTTTGTAACTTAAGCACTGCCCGTTTTTAAGGTAAAGTTGCTTATAGAGATGCTTTAAAGGATCAAGGCACTGACTTTATGCACATATCACACTTCACTTTATTTTTAACAAATCCAGTCTTACTTGTTCATTGCTGGCAAGTATGTTTGTTTGAACAATAGGCCAAAGTTTCCGTCCGTTAAACCAAAGCTGCTGGATCTGAAGGGGTTGCTTGTTGATCCACGTGGCTGGATATGCCTGGAGTCCAGACTTTCTTTTCAAGGGTGATGAGCCGTGCACGGTGTAGTCCTCTACTGGCAAGGAATTCTGCTAGTTGTGTGGAGAGATGGAATTTTTATTCACAAAAATGAATCTAATTTCCCATGCAAATATATATTCAGAATTGTCTGTAACTATGAAAATGATTTGGTCTTTAGCTTACCTTTACCTTAATTTCCTCTTTATCTTAACTAGGATTGCATTGCTTGTGTGTTCGCAAATCCTAATGACATTGGGACATAATGGAGGGGAATTGTTATTCTCTGGAAAAGAATGTACTAAGGTAACTTTCTTGTTAACCACTCCAGCATTGTAATGAGAAGCCCTTTTTTTACTTTGAAAATAGCCCAAGCACCATGCCTATAAATAAGTGTTACAAGTTTTATCAGGATGAACAAAACCCAAGATTGTTCTCTTTATATAGAGGACTGAAAGTTCATGTAATCTGGCACTTCTCTAAAGCTAACCTAATGTTCCATAAAGGTGCTGTTAGGAAAACTCATGCTGTTATTTGTTTAAACCTGTTCTTAGTTTTCTTACTCAAATGCCTGTGGAATTTCTCTTCCTGATTCAAGCAGTAGGCAGGTATCTTGATGGTGACATTTACGCTCTGACAAAATGCATAAAAGGACAGGTCATATCTCCACTGCCCTGAGTGTGTATTAATATGTTTTGAATATGGTCAGGCATCAGTCAGATGATATAAGCCTTAGGACACAGAGACCAGATGCTGTATTATTCACCTTAGTGTGATTTACTAAAATGAACCTTACATCCTGTCACTAGATGGCTGAAAGCGGTATTGCATGATAAATCATTTGATAAAGCCTATGACAACAGATAGGAATTTCTTACTAGATCTGCTCAGTTTTCTGGTGATGCCTGATTTAAACTGGAGCAAAAAGACTGAACGGTGCCGCATAACCAGAGAAATACCAGTGCTAACGTGTCTCAGTCTGTGTAAGAGTGCAATTCTTCATCAGTGAATGTCAGGATATTGCAGCCTGGCTTCTTATGAGCCTGCTAATCAGAGTAACTCCTTGTAGTGGTGGGCTTCTGCACAACACGTCTTTTGGGGTGAGTAATGCTTCTGGGTGAACTGCCTGAATTTCATCATTGCCACCAGTGTTAGATGACCTTCCAGGACAACTGAGGTGCTAGGCATTGCTCCATGGAAGCTTTTTGAGGCACTGGCTATTTTAGAAGACAGCCATAAACGCCAATGACTGTTGTCCCCTGAAAAAGTGTTTCCTCCTATCTTGAAATTTGAGGATGGATTTAAAAATTGAATCTTGATTCTAATGTTTGCAGCAGTCATCTGTTGCTGCACCTTAGCAGCTGCCTGGTTCTGTTCAAGCCTCGGGAAGCAACCTGTACTAGCCTGGAACTGAGCCTCACCTAAGGATGGGGAAGAAACCTGACCTTGTCTTGATAGAAAGGCTTAGTTTTCACAGTTTTCTCTTGCTGCTTGAAAATGTGCACTTGACAAATGTCATCAGAGCCTCTTATATTGCTAATGACACTGTCTCCTTGGAAAATATGTTTGCATTCATTTAATACCACATGTACTTGTGAATAAATATTTCAAGTAATCTGACCTGGAAAATTGTTAATTTCTTTATTTTTTTTTTTTTAAAGGCAAAAGTTAGTGTTGAGCCTTAAACTTGGTGCTGCCTTATTACTTAGTAGTTTTTATGCTCAAGAAAAACATTGCTCATGTTACTATTTGAGTTCTCAGTAAGTTTTATAAAATAGTCCTTGTTTTCTTTGATCTACACTTGGCCATGGTGTCTGTCCATAAACCACTTGCATGTTGAGGGATAAATTCTAGATGTTCATTTTAGTCACGCTGATTTTCTTGAACAAAGAGAAGAGGATGCAGATCCTGTTCATGCTTTTTTTTTTTTTTTCTCTTCCTGGGCAATATTTGTCTTTTGAATGATACCTAATACTCTCACTAGTAGGCGCTTCTTGAGTGTGATGATGTTAATAATTTTTTTGGAATTTGATTAGAGGTCTGTCACACCAAATGAATACCTTTGGTGTTTTTTAGAATGTATTAATGCCTGATTTATTTATTTTTTTCCTTCTGTATTTATACTGTTTTCCAGGATGAATGTTTTGTTATGTCATATTTTGGGGGGAAGATAGTGGTAAGTTACTCTCTGCATCTTTGTACTTACAGTGATGCTCTGACGTAAGGGGATTTTTTAAGAGTCACTATTGAAGCTCACCAGTGAAAACAAAAGAAAACATTGATGCCAATTCATTTGGTCAATCAAGGTCTCCTTTGTGCACTGGAGGTGGAAAGGGAAGGAGAGGCTGCTGAAAGATGGCCCGCTCTCTACTCCACCGTCAAGATGTCCGTAAAACTGTATGGGATTATGGAGATGATTAGTGGTGGATTTCTCAATAGCTATTGTCATAGTTTCTGAGGTTCAACACAGTTCTTCAAGCTGTCCCATTTTTTTGGATGTGCTACTTTATCTTCTTGCTTTCCTGCTTCCTTTAGTGGTGGATTGAAATTCCACAGGCCCCTAGCACAGTGCTAATTAAACTCAGTTGGCTGCCGTATCGAGATGATCTGGGTGGGTTTAGTTGAATCGAAGATGTGACTTAATTCTTTGCAGATCAAACGATAGATTTCAAGCTTTAAGGTGAGGAGAGGGCTGCTCACTAATGGGCCTCACCAGTGACAAGTGGATTAGAGGCTGCTCTCTGGCAGAGGGCTAATTAGGTAGACTGAGAGTACCTGCGAAGTCACGTTGTCCTTCAGCCTGGGGCGGTGCTGACCTCCACTCAGATTCGGGCACTGGTCCCTGGCAGGTCTAGCGAGTGGATCCCTGGGTAGCAGCTGAGTGAGGCGTGGGGGCAGAGCAAATTGGTCCAGAAAATGCCAGGATTCGAGCCCTGAGGAACAACAGAGGTTTGAAGAACTTCAGAGGCTGGCTTCTGAGCTGATGGTTTCAAAGTGGTAGCTGACTTGTGATGTCCAAAGAAAGCTCTTAATTGTGTTGAAACTGTGGAATTAAGTATTACCTGCACTAACATAATAATTTGCTCAGTTTACCATCATCTTTGCCCTTCCTTTCCCGCTGCCTGTTACTGGTCAGCATTAGATGAAAGCTTTTTGTAAGAGGGGCTATGTGCAAATCTGATAATGCGGGCAGGAGCCTGCTGGTGATTTCTGAAGGTGGCAGTAGGAGGAGTTGTGCCGCTGTGGACACCTGGCAGGCAGCAGATTTGGGTGTTTTACACAGTGGGCTGTTCTTCCTGGGAGTCTGTACGGGGCTGTGAGTGCTGAGGCAGCCCCGGCTTCGTGGTGAGAGGGTAGAGTCCAGGTTTGACATTTTCCACAGAAATTGCAACACCAAAACAAAAAAAGGTCTCTGGACACTAACTTGCAGTACCCCACTAGCAATTAAATGGGGTTTATGCTACATGTCTTTGGCCATATTGTTAAATAATTGATTCTTCTGTATTTAATGAAGGGTTAAACTGTATTTATCTATCAGAGATATGTCCTGGCACTGGGTGGTACGTTGGTCTCCTGTAATTGAGGTGCGTGAGTTGCTATAGGCAGCAGCATGTATGGGAATTGCCGTTTGGCATCTAACCTGGGCTCTGTGCAGCCCACCGCACTGAGGACCCTTCACAGAGGGTTGACTGGGATGGGTGGTACTGGAAGCTAAGTAAGATTCAGATTAAGGGTAAGTCATGTGCTATTCTGAATTTATAGCTCATCTGCCTCTCTTCCTCCTTTCCTGCCTGGTCTGTATAATGAAACATGGGAGCCTTGTGACTGAATATGTTATGGAGATGATTCATACAGGAATTAAAACCTGATAAATACCATTTTTAGGGAGAGGTTACTTCAATAGATCCCCTTTCCTTGTTATCTGTGAGAATACGGTTTAGTGTTGAATTGACCTGGAATCAAAGTTTACAATTTTGGAAAATTTCTTGGCTCAGAAATGCTGAAACACTTTCAATTTTCAAAAAGAAATTGGCAACTTGTTCCATTTGAATTTGAGATGCAAACAGAGTATTTCCCTAGAAGTGGAAATCGGAGAGTTTTGCTCCAGTTAAAAACCTCAGGAAACTTTCTCAGAAGTGCACTAGGGTTGTGATGTGGTTTTTTTTTTTTTTGTTTGTTTGGTTGAGGTTTTTTGTTTTGTGATTTGGGGTTTTTTTTGGTGGTTCCAATCTAGACTTGCTGGCCCGTGATGTCTTCAGCCTGATACTTGTCAGACCTGCTGAGCATCCATAGCTCACTAGCAGGACTGAGACCCAGATGGTTTCACTGCAGCCAAAACTTCTCATTTAAAACTGACTTGCTTTCTGCAACAGTTACATAATCTCAAAAGAAATGGAAAGAGATTCCTTTCTGTTTACACAAACCATGTAAATTTGTAGAACAGGGAGAAAAAAATGTTTTTCTGTCCTATAATCACTAAACCGCACACAGCAGTGTTTGTGCTGGGAGTAGGTGCAATAGCCTATAACGATGTCTGTGCTGTGCAGATACATAATTAAGGGTCTCTTAAAATCTGTTTTGTTGCTGTAAAAGCACAGGAAATTTATAGTTTTCAGCACATCTGTAATGTTACAAGATAGTTGCTTTTAAAAAACCCACCAGCCTACAAACCTGTTTCTTCTCATTTGCGGTTTTGCTCTCTAGGTGGCAGGTTTTGACACTAAAACGTGGTTTTGGTTCCTGCTCTGAACTCAAGGGCTCAAAATGTGCTGGAGGAATAGAAGATGAAAACAAAACACTACTACTTCATTCTTTCTGGATGTTATATTGATTTATGATCATATCCTTTTATGTGAGTTGGAGAGAGGTGGTAAAGAACCTAGCTGGTTTTCCTCTTGGTGTTCTCAGTACACCAGTGATGTTGAAATTTCTTCTTGTTTTTCAAGCTGGTATGAGTAATGCTGTCTGAACTGCATGGCTTTGGCAGCCAAACGGGACCTGCCTTAGAGAAACACCTATCTTCGTTTTGAAATGGACGAGAAATGCCTTAGACGGTTTCTTCAAGGGCTGAGCAATTCTTTTCTTTTTTTTTTCTTCTTTTTTTTTTTTTTCACTTGCCCAAGGCTGGAGGGCAGAAGAGGGGGAGAAGAGGTAGGGCTGCTATGCTAGGGAGGACAGAAATGAATTGTCAGACCCCAAAGGAATTTTTTTTTATTTACCACAGCAAAAAAACCACCCAAAAACC